CCTGCAACGGATCGCGGACTCTGACACGAGCCTAAGGGTTGAGCATTGATCTGGTATTTCTTCATAGATTCCACCGCTTCTCTAAAAACAACTTTGGATGAAGTTTAACTACTCTAGGGTTAAAGTCCCGCGTTTCAGGAGAATAGGTGAAAAAATTGAAGAAAAAAAAACCGACAGGACTTTTTGGACGAGTAATCTCTAAGAAATCTTAGTGTTTTTCAAGACCCCTAATTCCTCATTACTTTCTAGCCTTGAACATTTGAAAAAAAAGCTGATTCTGAAGCAAGACTGCCATCAGAGGCATGAAAACTCGTTCAGGCACAAAAGAACCAAGGGCCATTCCTGGAACGCTGGGCATTTACGAGACTTTTAACAATTTTAAGAACAAAACATTTACTTTCTACTTTATGACAAATGGGGCTTTCGAGGTTCGGAAAAGGTCGGCAGCACTGTGAAAGCAAAAGCCTCTACGATTCGAAAAATACCTCGGCTCCTTGACTTTCTTCACACTTTGAGGCTTATGCTTAGCCGTGCCTATTATTTACTATAGCTTGAGAGACATTGCGCGTCCAACACGACGTATCTGCGATCATATTATAAATTATGGATGCATTGAAACATCTAAATATGCACAGCTTATATTGGAGAATTACCGCTTAGGTGTCAAAACGCAAACTGATGTTGTTTTGTAAGTGACTGCAACTATGAGAAAGACAGACGAGAGCTGCAGGTCGAAGTGGCACAACAAAACATTAAACGATTTTGATGAGCAGCTCTCATAAAGGATCCAACTAAACCAATTAAAGATCCAAAAAGGATTACAACGTATCCAAGTAGATTTACTGAATTTTGCACAGTAGCTTCCTTCCTTCCTGTTTTGCTTCCCCATCATGACAGTAACGCACTTATCATGGTTTCTTCAATTACATTTTCTTCGGCGCACTTCCAGAGTCAGTATTTCTGTGCTCGCCAACGAATCTCTCTGTTCTATCCATTTCGTAAGTTCTCCCCGAATACAGAATGTTGAGATTCTTAGTGTTGATGACATTGCAGCACCTCCTCACCTGGACTTCTTAAATTTTCCCAAGCACTCTATTTCATTTCGAAAGCACAAATTTATATCTGGTTCAAACAGATTAAATTTTTGGTCCTAAGATAAAAGTTTAGCAATTACGAAATCACAGGCTTTCGGGAAAACCGAGCTACTATGATTCGTTGCAGCGTCCTCCTCCAACACCACAAGCCCGACTCCTTTGCTAATGCTAAACATAACGCGCCGAGCTCTGTATGCTCTTTAGATCCACTCATCCGTCTCTCATGTTTCAGTGATTTCCCCTCTTCCTATGAAGCAAAAACCAAATTTTTATCTCAGCTGACATGACTTCAGGGGCCGTAAGGTATGCTTCCCCGAATGGTTGCGGGGACGAAAGTCCCTTTAAATTTTTTGTTTTGAACGACACTGTTTCTTTATTCTCAATGCATGTTTACTTTAAGCAACACACATATATTAAATGTAGGCCCTTTATCAGGACAATCCCAGTTGGGACGACAGAGAAAATTTAAAGGGATTTTCGTCCCCTAACCTTCGGGGAAGCATACCTTACGGCCCCAACTCGTAAGCATGTAGTGACACCTTCGTTGAGGGCAAACGCCATAATCCTAATGATCTATAATGCCACAACAAATCAAATACATTAGAATGAAAGCCTACCTAGGACAGCCTGGTGATCTACGTGGTGATCGTCCTCACCACCATGGTGTTTGTGAATTCGACTGGCAGCGCCGTCGACTACTCGTTCTTTGTCACATGCGACTAGAGGTAGCAAAATGAACCAAGTCCATTTCATCCTCCTACCTGGAAATTTGATCAAACCATATCCAAACAAATAAAAGTAGAGCACGACGAGGAAGTGATGGAGGATAACTACTAATCAAAAATGCGACACATACACAGCCGATAAGTAGAATGTATGGTATAGTATAACTGTGTACGCTGTAGAAGATACCTTCTATTCCAAAAACGAGAAGCGCGTCGGTGCAGACCATACACCACAAGTGACGACGGCCTCCACAAAATGTAAATGTTTTCTGCCAATGAAATGATTAGCCTGTTGCAGTTGTATTCTATCAGTTGTCACTAATTACAACTATCATTTACCAACTATCAGCTATCACTATGAACCACTAGTTACCAGATTTACTTGGAGGCCGTCGTCACTTGTGGTGTGTGATCTGCACTAGACGCGCTTCTGGTTCCAGAAAAGGGTACATCCAGATAAAATCCTTCTCATCATACTACGCTTTCGTTGCTGACGATTGGGAGTCGCAGAACGGTAAAACTAATAGTCACGATGTATTATAGACCAATTGTATAAAGAATATATTGTATTGTTCAATATTGTTGAAACGTTAATTTTGGGCAGCAAACTAACGAGCTGAAAACAATACACTGACTACCATCGATTGCCGCAATAATGCAATTTCACCATATTCTACACTAAATCAAACCCGACTTACCTTGCTCCAGCGTAGAACTCCCTAAGTAAAACTTTGGCCTATGCCACAACTTAGCAACTACGGGCGATGAGTAGGAATGCGGCGTCAAAGGGATCACTTGGAAACATGAAACGGTGCAGTACAAGATCCATTTGCCATTGTGCATACATGCAGGCGCTTAAGGGCACGCCGCGTTCATACTACACAATTCGGAAGATTAAGAGATTAGACGACAATAAGGAAGATGTGTATTGATTGGGAGATTGAGGTTCAGGTCAGATTAGATAGCATTTATTGTCTGGCTGGACACTTTTAAGCTCCTAATCAACACGTATCTAATCATGTCATGGTTGGCCGAATTTCCTAATCTCCTAATCACCTGTCTACTATCACAGATCGAGTATGATAACGGACTATGTGATGGAAGAAATGGAAGGAACGAAGAAGGAACGTATCTTCACCGGAATAGGTTATCTGCCATGTATCATTATCAAACACTGAAAGGCTAGTCCTTCGTCGAGAGTCCCATCAGTCCTCCATCGATCACACTTCTTTTAGGTTCACTGGAAGCGCTACCAACCCACCTCTACACAACCAGCCTACCTATTTCTATTCATCAAGTTCCCGTTGGTACGTCCTCATTAATCAACAGCTGCATGCAAGCTTCCAACCATTCAATCTCACCTACCTAGCGCCAGAGCAAATATCTTGCTCCAGTTGCACGCATTAAATATGTCTCACTGCAAGGGCTGTAGCACTACATGTAACCTTTTCGGTGTGGCAGAAACCAGGTAGTAAGTACGTGAGCCGGGGAACTAGGGCAGCACAAAGGGTGGAGGTGCGTGAGCCACTTTTCGTGAAGAAAACGATTAAGGGTTGCGCTAAAGGATTTTTCAGGGGTCCGGTAACGTAGCCCCTCCAATGGTCAGCACTATGGATCCTATGCTTTCCTGTTTTTAGTGGATGAATTCAAACGGTGGAGATCCGTACACTGCCAAGGGCCGGATTCAGTCTTCCCCAAGAGGTTAAAAGGATAAAGGATAAAGCATTTGCCGTTGATCAATCCCTTTTGGGATGCGGCACGCATTCTACTTCCATTTGTACATTCGTAGTGGCGTTTGAATGCGATGTGGCCTATACAATGACTTGCGGGGGCCAGCCGATGTACAAGTCAGTTTTTATCCTCCCAGACAAGTCTGGTACCAATTAACCGACCCCGGAGGGATGGAAGGCTTTGGCCCGGGCGACTCACGACCCAGGATTTGATCCCCGGACCGCTCGCGTGGTAAGCGTGCCACTTGCCACTACACCACTTCCGCCCTGTTCCAAGAGGTTGGAGGACGAAAATCCCTTTAAATTTTATTTGTTTTCAACGATATAGTTTCTTCATTTTCAGTGCATGTTTACTTTGACCTACATACATACATTAAATGTAGGCCCTTTATCAGGACAATCCCAGTGGGAAGACAGAGAAATTCGAAGGATTTCTCGTTACTTCAAATTTTCCCTCTTGGGGTAGAATTTTGAATCCGGCTCCAGGTATGCCTCCCCTCTGCTGAGGAACAGTCCCCAAAGGGGGACCCTCTCCTATACGGTCCCAGGCTGGTATGCTTTCAAACGGATATTCTCTGGATTATCTTTTTAAAATTTAACGAGTTCTTCTATCGTTCAATTTTGCGGCAGTGACGACTGGGAACACTGCAGTCGCCCGCACAAGAGATCCGATGATCTACAAGGCAACACATAATGCAGGTAATCTTTGTTGAAGACTTTAGCGATAGAAAAACGCTACTGCCAGATTCTTAGGGAAACTGCAGCTTTATCAATTCTCTTAACTTGAACAAGTGGCATATATGTGCGGAAGGATCGTCACAGATAGTGCAAAATTTCATAACTTCAGCAGCTCCCTTACTTTATCGTCATTTCCAGCATTCTCAACGCAATAAGCAAATATGCATAATTCAGGTAAAAGCTTCATAAAACTCGAATGGGAATGCATGTTAAACTACAACCACTCATGATGGTGCAGACGCTCCGCTACCTATTGCCCTACATATCAGCGCTATGAGCGCTGTAACGGTGGCGTCGAGAACTATGTCACATCACACCCATAGCGGTCATTCGCGCATATCACGATCTCAAATCGTGTGAGCGCAAAACTAAACATTCATCGGGGTGGACGCACGCATATGTGGACGTTCTAATTATGTTGCTTGCCACCTATCTTTTCGCGAGGAAAGAACCTTCAGCAGCGAGCCTACGAAGAAAGTACTGGAAATGACAGTGCTAGTGGCACCCGCATTATAATGTAGCTGGAGAAAAACGACACTATTAATTTCTGAGGTGCATTCGCGACGGTACGCCCAACATATCTGAACTGTGGCTTCACCTATAACTTGATTGGGGGACAAGCCTCACCGTAACACGCGAAATCAAAACCCTCCCCACATGAATTCTGCATCTGAGTAAGTAGTACCGGGTCTATTCCAGTTAAGGGGGGGGCATGGGTTTACGGACTACTTGATTTTTCCTCAATGGTCCTGCCGCGATGGCTAGAGCACAGACGATTAGAGAACGGGTGAATGCCCTAGGACTAAGCCTTGGAGAGGAGAGGGACCCGCGAGAGAGCGCAGAGGCGGTTTAAAGGGCTGAGTTCAAGTAGTCCGTCGACCGGGGGCATGTGGTTTAGAGCGCTCAACATGTTTAAAACCCCGGATAGCATATTACCCTAGTACAAGGGTCTGGGCTAAGCCTCAGAAGGGAGGGAAAACTCGGGTTCGTGGGCAAGCTTCGCTTTCTCGGAGAGGGATTTCCTCCCCCTTCCTAGGCTTAGTCCTAGCTGATCACTAGGTAAATATTACTTTTCATTGACGTTTATTACAAAGCACAAGAACACATACATTATACAAAAACCAGAAGAAACAACGTAGGAAAAAGCTGATAGCATTCGTAACTTTAAAGGACTCCTTGAGCCAAACTGGCATTAGAGCAGACTGTGCACCGCAATGCCCCTCCTAACTGGAGTAGACCCGTATTACCTGCCTAGTGAGCTAGGAAATGAGGATTCTGTGGGGTGCATCCACCACCCGTCGCAGGATACTTTCGCTTAAATCCCCATCTTTTCGGTTCACAATTTTTTTCCACGCGAACATAAAACAACAACAGCAAAACCGTAGCATTGGAGAACAAATTCGAAAAAATGCTGTCAATCTGAAGACCTTAAAATGTAAAAGCTTTGAAGGAATTCTTGCAGAAATTAGGATTGCTGTAACCTGCTCGGATTATCGGCGCAAGATGTCCCTCATGAGGTGACAGCGCTCAGAAAAAATTCGAGCATCTAGGAATTTGTGCTCTGAGCATCTTATTTGGCGCTAGTGTACTCAGAAGGCGTCGCTCTAACGATAAGGACTGAGCCTTGGAGAGGACGTAATTCGAAGAAAATGAAAAATGCTTACAAATTCTCCTCCCCCCCCCTCCTCCCCACCTAGCCCCCTAAGGCTTGTGCTATGGGTGTGTTGAGCTCTCATGCCTTCAAATGTGTTGAACACAGAATATCAATATAATATGCCGGGGAACCATTGGATGCACTCCCACGAGTCACCTGCTAAGGGCCAATAAGCGAATAACTAGAAAACCACCGATTGTGAAGAATCGCTGCACGAACGGTGACCAGCTATCAACATTTGAGATCTCGATGAATCAGCACACCATCCCAAAAGCCACGTCAGCTTCGCAGTTCGTGTGTTCAGGAATTTATTCCCTACTTCGTAACAAATTCCAAACACGAAGCATTTGCAGAATAGCATCCACCACATAAAAAGTGCAGTTTCATTAGCTGATTTCGCTTTTAACTTCCTTTCCTTTTGTAGTGTAAAGCGCACCCACGCATCTGCACCTTCTTATTATTCAGTACGGTGACAAACGGAATTGATGGAAATAGTTGGATGTTCGTATTGGTATCGATCTTTCAGAACTTTGTGCAAATTCAGAAGCTACGACTTCGAAACTATGAGCCCATAACTTTCGAAGGGTGTCTAAAAAGTGTAAATCGGAGTGTGGTTCGCTAGGACAGAACGCGATTGTTTCGCTTTACGCAGCGCGAAGCTTTCTTCGTTGCGGGAACCCCAGGTCCACTCCGATCGGCCGATGTCAGACTTTGCGATTGGAGCGATTGTGCACAAATTGCAGGAGCGACGGATCGCTTGAGCGATCCATCGCTGCGAGCGACGGGAGATTTACACGGCCGACCAACGATAATTCGGCGCCATCAGCTCGTAAATCTCCCGTCGCTCGCAGCGATGGATCGCTCAAGCGATCCGTCGCTCCTGCAATTTGTGCACAATCGCTCCAATCGCAAAGTCTGACATCGGCCATTGGTGGAGGACCTGGGGTTCCTGCAGTGAAAAAAGCTTCGCGTCGCGAGAAGCGGAAAGATTGCGTTATGTCCTAGCTACCCACACCCGTGTGAAGCTTTCCAAGTCATAATTTCTAACATTTTGAAGCTTTAATTCAAGGAAGTGCTTCACAAAGTTTCAAGATGCAACTGCTTATAATGCCTCAGCAGTCTAGTACATTCACAGTCTATTAACCCATTCGTGACAATGTCAGCCACCGGTGGCTGACAAAGCTCTCACTCGGGACAATGGTATTACTGTGGCTGCAGGGCTTGAAATGGAATTTGGAAAGTTTTCTTCCATGGAAAGAATCTTCATACCCTCGCTCATCTACGCCAGCCCTGGGCAGAGGAAATCTCCCTCCACTCGAATTTTATTGAAGAAAAATCTCCTGACGCTGCTGCTATTGCGCAATCCTGCGCGGTCGCGAATGGGTTAATGACATTGTAAATCCAAATTAGCAGATATCAATACACACCCATTGCTGTGGTTTGAGAGAGCTTGCAAAAATCGATATCCGACTAAAATTATCGAATAATAAATAACTAACAATAGGTAAAAGAACGCAGAACGTGAAAAAGACGGAGCATTTGAGACGGCAAAAAGAGTGAATCGGCGTTGATAAAGAGGACCATCAACTGCTTACACCGATAAAACGATGAGAGTGCACATGAATGCGAGTGCTAATGATTTATTGATCGGCGGACAACCGGCAACGCTCACTAACGAGCAGCTGCGAAGCGATGAATGGTCCAGAAGTAACTTGCAGAGAACTAAGAACGCCCAGATGACGAAGGGTACCCACTCAATGCTGAACGTGCTGAACAATTCGCCAGGGAATTGATGAATCATCACAAGCTACATGATTCATCGATTCTCCAGCGAAGCGGTTAGGATATCACCCGCTCAATTGGGACCATCAAGTTCTTTGTCATGCGTTACTTAAGGGACTTTCTATGGTGACATAATTTCATGAAATAGCTCTTCATGTCCCGCTAATCGCAACGAGACAATGTAAAAGTCTCAAGTGAACAACCACAATACCTCTTTCCGCTAAGTGAGTTGGTTGTGATGGTTTTGAACAACAACAGCGCCGCTACCACACGATGAAAGAGTCGGAAAAGTAAAAGAAGAAGAGAGAATTGACTTCCATTAGGACGGAATTGAAAGTAGAAAAGGAAGGAGGTACCTACTTGCCTGTAGGCAGTTGAACTGTGTCGCGCTCCAGCAAAGCGGCACCAACTGCTCGCGGTGACTCGCGCGCGCCTTCCGATTGGAGCGCGGCAGTTGGTGGAGTCGTCAAGAGTACCTCCTCTTTGATGGACTATAAATTTCCTCATTGACAATTTTCGAAAAATGAAAGAGCAGATTCTGAATGCACGGAACTTCTAGTTTCTAAATTGCGCAACATGTCCTACTTTGAGAGCTGGAGACGTCAAAAATTTGCCGAGGAAGTTGAAATTTTCATGCGAATTTTCACTCTTGAAGACTGTAATTTGCTTTTATAAACCAGATTAGTCCCCCGTCAACCGCCGGGACCTTCCTTTCCTGCGCAAGCTTTCTATCCTCCGCTATGGTCCCTTCCTCCTGTGACACCAACACCTCCTGGAAGTGACGCGTATGCAACACAATGGTGTTTCATACAGTAGAAGGGACACAATCATGATATGACGGTAGATTTTTCGCTTCCCTTCCTCATCCTCCCTTCCTCTCTCCACTGCCCTCCAGCTGCCACTGCAGCACCATGTGGAATGAACGGAAGTGTGCTAAGCAGGTGTTTATATAGCCCTAAGAGTGTTATCACAACTATCCTGCTACAAAACATTGATATCTCAAATCCTGTAAGCTACCCGATTTGTTAGCGGTTTGTTTATCCCATGAGCTTCCTTCTCACTCACTTCATTTTGCGGACGGACACACATACATACATACACACGCACACACACACACACACATACAGATACACAAACCGACACACAAAGTTAGCGCTTTATAATAGAAGGATATTTGGAAAATCGGAGACAGAAAGGCTGCTGTAGCTGTTTGCAAATTTTCTAATCGCCAAGAAATTTGTAATGTGGCGAAGAATGTCGGACGAAATTCCTGAAACCACTCAAAGCTCCTTTGCCGAAGCGAGGGACTTCTTTGAGGACCTTCAAAATGCTTCTGAGTCATCACCTTGATGGAGTAAATAGTAAGTAATGTATTCGGCGCAAATCTATCCCTTCTGGTATACGCCATGCAGTGACCCCACTTGGAGTCGTTTGAAAATGTTTTGTCTACACGACAACTTACTCGTGCAAACCGAAAGGTGTTGTTCTGGTCTTGATTATTCAGAATAGTTCCTATGTCATAGTCGCTTCCTTTTTGAACCTTGTTTCGAGGAATGACGCATCTGTTGCTGCAGTGTGTGATGGTGCTAAGAAAGCTGCAAATCTTTCCTTTTGAACTTTCTACGCTACGCTGTTCCTTTGCAGGTTCACGAAGCGCATACATAGATTTACAGTAGATATTTGATATTTGCTGCCCTTACATATGGTTCTTAGCAAGGCGCGTTTCCTCCCTATGTCATCGTTCTAGACCTCAACTTTGCATTGGCGTGGCCAGGTCAATATTGATTCTGGATTGAAAGGGACCGCATGATGTGTGAGGCTTCGTATACCATGCATGATTGGAAGGCTCTTGGCATCATGTTTCCAAAGTTTCATCCAATTCCATGAGAAGTCAATGAGTTATGCTATTTTATCCATCTCGTCCTCGAGTTTCGCACACCAACGTTCATGGTGTAGGATAATGCAGTATCACAGACCGAAATCTATCGGTTTCGTATACGCATGAACGCTGGAAATTTATTTTGAGATTTCGGTGAGTTGGAATATCACATTGTTTATCACTTGAGCAAGTTCGGCCAATGTTGTGAGCTGCATTTCGTCTAGTGCCACTATTGAGAACGGTGAGCAGTTTCTTCTACATTATCTGAAGGTATACTCGATATCGGTGAGTTGGGGTAGGCGTGTCACCGGAAGTGACGTGCACTTGATAGAAACTATGTGGATAAGCTGCTTCCAACATACATCGCTGGATATCAGCAAAGCATGCTGGCAACAGCTTATCCACGCACTTCTATCAAGTGCACGTCACTTCCGGTAACAAACCAAAAAAAAAAAAAAAAAAAAAACTGACACACCACTCAATTTTTCGGAATATCGACTAGTTCGGAAGGAGTTCCCTGATTATCTGATACCAGTTGAGCTCCGCACGCCAGCTTGCATCACAGCGGGCTTCGATCGATCTTGTTGACCTATCGAGGATCAAATCCTTTGATTAACACATTACCTGAAACTTGTATGTCATCTCTCCTGGGTGCCCTTATTAGAATACTTGGCTTGTGAAGAGAGAAGCAATTATTGAGTTAGGCGAATTCCTAGGCGAAGAGTGCTGGACAGATGCTACGAACGATTGATAATCATGGGGTTGTGTGCTATTCTTCCGGAGAAAGAGAAGACTTCTGCAGGTGAAGATCCCTGAGGCAGAAAGGCATCCAACCACACGCTATCGCGTGCATCAAATGGTGTGCTTCAGTGAAACCGCCTTTGAAAAATGACGTTGGATGAAGTCTAAGTCTTGTCCATTTTCACTGACGCTTATCGCGCTGTATCATGCGGAATGAAACTGGTACCCATGCAGCGTCCGGAGTTGGTGATAGTGCGCGCGATTAGACAATCAGGTGATTAGGTCTGTCTGTAATGAAAAATATGTATATGTATAGACTAGGCGATTAGGCGATTGGCCGAGGAGGCGGGGAAGACTTCATACGTATTGATCAATTTGCTCCACCCATAGAGCGTGTAGGCGAGTAGGCGATCAGTAATCGCTCAATGGGAGGAGAAAATAAACCGATACATATCCTTTTCTTATCGTCAACTCGCATAATCGCCTTATCGCAAGTACGATCGCCGACTCTGTACGCTTCATTATTGGCTCAGGAGATTTTTCCGCTGCACGTCGGTCTGGGAAATGAAATGCGATCAATCAATCAGCATCTAATTCAACTGATGAATATTTCGTATAACCATCAGAATGCAAAATTGATAGCTAAGCCGAACTAGCGATGGAGATAGCTTACACTTGCGGCTTTGTTTCAGTTCAGCTGAGTGCACATTAGTTTGTCGCTACTTCTCTCAGTACCGTTTTCGCTCATTACAACCCCCTGTCACTCAACAGCACTCCCGCCACCGTGATCGTTTGCAAGTGAAAACTGCAAGGAAGTTGAAGACATTTACATAGAAGCCATTGGGCAGGCGCTTATCATCAATCATATGCTCACTGTCATTGTCCCCGTCACGACCCTTAATGCAAGCATGTGAAAAGGCAGGGTTTTAATTTCACAGAAAAGCTCGAACGAAATTGGTACTACTCACATTCTGAGGCTCCTTATCATGGATTATTAGTTGCTATCCCTTTCACTCACTCACTACACGTGTTCCCATGCGATCCCCCATACCATCCTTCTTACTATAAAGCGCTTCGTCTGTCGTCTGTCGTTCTGTATGTCTTTCACGAAATCTAGCTCCTGGAGATCCGTCTGGACCGAAACGGAGTCGAAGGGTCAAGTGTGGGATGGAAGTTTCAGGTCTCGAGAAGTACAAAAAATACATCAGCTGGCGGAGCCCCGCCCACAGTGGGTATCGAAATGAGTGGTACTGACGACAGGCGGAATAACCTATCCCAAATGGCCTTCCGAAACTGACGGGGTAGCTGAAAAAAAGTAGCGGTGACGGTAACTGTGATGGTAAATCAAATCGTATTAGGGAGACTCACACCCGGTGGACGGGGCTATCCGTAAACAAGCGGTGCTTAATAAAAAAAAATTCATAAATCGGCCAGGAGAAAGCTTATAGAGCAAGAAAAAATCGGGGGGAGCAACGTCTAAGGTGACCAACTGTTAGGGGTAGGCGCAGCTTGCACAAAAGTGGCGGAGTTTTCTAACAAAATCATAAAATCGTCCAAGAAGTCATGGAGACTGGGGAAAGATTGGATAGAGGTGGCATTGCCACTCCGAAGCACGCTATCAGCTTATCAAGGCCACATCCAATTCCCCTGGGCTCGCTCCAGGTTTTGGCCGACCTCCTCGGACCAAATCGGGAAACAGTACTTTAAATTTTCCACTCAAATACACACAGCATACAAAACAGACACAGACACAACCGCCTTAGCGGATTACATATTGTAGGATACTTTCACATCACGAATGCAAAGTGGCAGGATGCGAAAGCAATAGATGTAATAGCTTCCTGGTGCAGAACTAGTTAGGTGATTTACATTGTTTCGTGGGTTCACTGTGAGCGCTAAGCCTAGAAGAGGAGGAGGGGATTCGGTAGAAATAAAAACTGATCACATATCGCGTAGTTTCCTTCCTTCCTTAGGCTTGCTCCAATTGAGCAATGAGCATAATTTCTACTCTACGACAGCACTTAAAGTGCCACTTAAAGGCAAAGTTCGGGCTCAGACCCACCTAAGAAGCCCTTACCATGGCTAGAAGTGCTGGGCACCAAGTGCAAAGTTAGCGCCACCTTTCTACATCGAAACCCGTCACCAGGACCCTAGGCGCCATGAACTTCTAACAGACTCCACCAAACATAACATGGTCCGCCCACCGATCGATGTCTTGTCTGCGTCGCTGCGTTGATCTGCTATGCTCTCTCTTCTCGGAATTCTCTACCACCCTCTGCGCTCACATTATCTCTCATCTCCCTCCCTGTCTTTTGAACTTCTCCACAGCATTGAGCAAAATGCTCGTATTTCCTGTGCATGTCAGGATTTTCTTTCCTTTTTTTCTCCATTGGCGGTCCACCTCTCATCCCTACTTCACATTTGAGTTGAATCAACCCATCAATGTAATCCTGAATCTTGCCTTTAACTAGTTTCACGCCAGATTTCTTTCTGGATTAGTTTCAGATGTCAGAAGTAGCAGAACGCTACGTAGAACAAATCCAGACAACAGCAGAAACATTGCGGAGACGAATTATTGCATACTATGATGGATATTCTTTCTTGGGAACAAGCTTATCACAGCTGCGGATCGAGCACGCGACATCGCTGAACCGGTTGCATATGATGTAAAGGAAAAATACGTACAGTATTTATTAGGCCCTACTCGAAGTCTGAGTAGGCATGTCACCGGTGATAAACTGCGAATGCCGCAAGATGGTAGAAGTCCGCCGGAGAGGCCGATGTCAGACTTTGAGACAAATCACGGGAACTTCGCTGAGGGGAGGGGGAGAGGAAGTCTGCGGTTCGCGTCGCGGCCAGTGAATCACTCAATTGGCTGGTACCGCAACGCGACCGCGGACGCTAGCGAATCGCGCGATTCGCAAAGTCTGACATCGGCCTTAAGTTGCTCCAACCACCAGTGGTACACAAGTAAGAGCCATGCTGGAAACAGCAACTGTAGGGCTTAGACAAACCCTCCTGTGAGGGAATTCATCTCGACGTCACAACATACTGAGTAATCAATAAATTACCAATTAAATTAACATGCAAACATTGCAGAGTAAAAATTATAGTAGGGGAAGGCGGAAGAATGCTTAAAAATTTTGACGCGGCCATGTTTTTTTTTTGACAAAAAACCACATTGATTCAATACTTACGGACTTTCCGATTTTGGGGAAATTTATGCAGATATTAACAATTATATGTTCACTATTCAGGTAACCACAGCGAATTCGCAGTCGGAACCGTTGTCTGGTATGGAAAAGGATATGAAAAACAATATCGTGGAGTTGTACCTAGGCATATCGGTATGGCTTTAGAATTTTTGCCAGAACCGGAACTAGGATTTATTTAACAGAATTCCTCTATCGGTCACGACTCAATGCGAAGCCTAGGCTTCAAAATCAAAAATGCTTCGCATAGAATAATTCAATTTACACACTCAATGCGAAATTGTGTTAACTTTTCTTTTCAGGTGCTAATGCTCGGTATTTCATCAGGGCGAGCTCGCAGGCGCGTTTGTTTTCCCTGCTCTTCTGGAAAAAATATTCGACCGTTTGATAGAAGTGCTTGTCTTGTTTCTTGTGCCTACTTACGTCTTCCTGAATATAAGAAAAAAACGCTGGTGAGTTTGCTGTCCTTTACGTATTTCTAAATTTTCGACGTCTTTCTCGACACTTTTGTTCAATGGCTGAGTAGACCATGTCCTGCCTGACAAAAAAGGCCTGTCGTTAATAAAAATCTAGGCATAACAATCTGAGACAGAAACTAAGCATCTTTGAAACGCTTAACACCACTGATGTCACATCCCGTGTAATAATGCAGTAGCAAACTCACTTAAAGTAAGGTCGGAATATGTGGACAAAATCAAGCTATTTCCCGAGAAAAGTGCAGCGGTGCGCTAGCGGAAAGCATGTACACAACTTTCGATATTGTTCGGCAAGGTCGAGGAGCTAAAACCCTAGTACGCAGCATTTGTCCGAACCCCAACCCAAAGTCGGGACACCCAAAACCAATGGGCTAGCCCATAAATCAGTACTATTTAGCTTTGCTGCTACTGGAGAGAGGGTTTTATTTCAGCCTTGTCGACGGTTTCTTCAAGTTTTTCCGTCAGACGTTACCGTTCATACCTCTCGCCATTTGCCAGGCGTGAATGCATTATATGGATACGGAAGTGGTTGTATAGTGGGGGGGCATGTGGCACGCTTACCGACGGTCTGATACCGGGGGATCGAACTCCTGGGTGTGCTTCCGTCCGGGCCGACCAAACCTGCCATCTATCCGATTGGGAAGGATTGGTACAGACTTGATAGGAGCGAGCAGGATAAAAACGCCATTATTCGTATAGGCCACATCGCATTCAAACGCCACTACGAAGGTACAAATGGGAGTGGAATGCGTGTCGCACCCCAAAAAGGGGTTGACCAACGGCAAGCTTTATCCTTTATCCATATCATCATCCAATACATACATCAGTTCGATCCCGAACTTTGCCTTTAATCCTGATATCGGACATTTTGTTGAATGGTAACTGGATTCATTTCTGCAAATACCTGTTCAACGTAAGCATTTTCGAGCAGCTAACTGCGATGGATAACGAGCGACGGCACATGGCTTATTCAAGGCTTCTGCTAATCATCGGGATTCTGCTAGGACACCTTATCGGTGGTGCACTAACCAGTGTCGCTCCATCTGTGTTCTTCATTCCACCTCTCATACTCAGCCTCTTAGTGAGTTTAGCATTTTCAGCTGCTTTCTCATTGAAATGCCAAAATAACACTCATCAGAGAAGGCATTCGGCTTCCCATGGAAACTGTTGACAAGAGTTGAGACTCAGATGTCGATAGAGCTTCAAACGATTATTACAGATATGGAAATTAAAATTGCAAAATGAGCCTGCCAAGGAAGTTGTGAGCAGACAGTTGGCTGAAAGTAAGGCATTACGTATTGACCGTGCTGGCCTCCGGGCCTTCAAAAGTTGCCGTGGAGTAGTGGTAGCGCTCTCGAAATTTGCACTCCTACGGGAGAGAACACATGAGCTCCTGGGTGAAGAGCGAGGGCACCACCACTACTCCGCGGCGACTCTGAAAGCCTGGGTTCAGCACGGTCCATATGCAAAATGCTTTACTATTAGCCAATTTTTACTGCTCACAACTTCCTTGGCAGGTTTATTTTGCAGTTTTAGCTTCCACACTTGTAATCTGCGTTTGAAGCCCTATCGATATACCTGGGTCTCAATGTCAAAGTTCCATCCGGGAAGGTTGGATACCTTCCACTTGGTCAGAGTCTCACTGTAGTGAAGCTATAACCCATAAATTCAATGGAGTGTAGATCCTGATGAGTGCTGAGAGATCAAAAATACGGTGGTAAGAGCGGTACCAAATGTATGTGACTGAAAGAAGGCGATCACAGTAGCAGTGAAATGGTGTAGGAAGGAATTTCAGAAAGCGTGTAGTGGTAGTGGTTAGTAAAGGATCTTGGTGTGCCTGTAAAATTGGAACCGTATGAATTCTCGCAGGTTATTAGATGGACCAACGAGCTCCGCACACTCCACTTGCCGACATGGAGCGAAACAACTTCTTCGCGGTCGGAGGCGCGATGTCATCTTTACTGTGTACGATGCTCGGTGGGTTACTTTCTCCCGGCAGTTCAAAAGCAGGCTTAACGCGAACGATCATACTTACATAAGCCGCCTTCATCTGTCGTATCCGTCGATCTGTATGTCATGATCGCGGAATTCCCTTAATGCTGGGAATACGCTCGAAGGAGACCGGTTAAGTAGTGGGGTGTGAGCCATGTATGGAGAAGTAGCAAACTTGCCATAGCAACGGAAGCTCGCGGCCTACAATGGCAGCGGGTATTAGCAGCAACGAAAATTTCGGATTTGATTCCAAAACAGACCAGAGATCGGGAAATAGCAGGTAAAGGTGTGCATTGATATGCTAGACCAGATTAGGGAGACCCACCTTCGCTGGACTTCGCGTTTTCTGAAAAAGCAGTCTAAAGGAATCAATATCTCTTCGGGAGCAGAAGTTACATGCAGAAACAAAATGCGTTCTGTAGGAAAGCAATGTTTGAAAGCTGCAGCATATATTAGCCAGTGAGTGGTGAGGCCCGCCCCTTAAAGGGAAACACGGAAGCGATGATCATCTGCAAGGGGTGGGCAGCGTTACATACAGGTCCTCAGAATTGGGTTCCGAGAAGTCTGGGAGGTTAACTATCAATGGTGGGCATGGCGTGCATCAAAGTGGATGGAATTTGCTACCAAACTTATTATTCGGCTCCATGAAGCTCCGGAGATCAGGAAAAAGAGAAAGAAAGAAGAAAAAGAAAAAAGCGGCCGACGTAAGAAATGAACGCATGATGTGCGCAGGACGTACAATGGTACATTCTGTTCAACTCTATTGGTAGATGAATCATGCACTAAAAAGAGGAGAGTTTGCCACAGTCCTGAGGCAGTCCAGAGACTGGGAAGATGTGGGTGGAGGTCGACGAAGGAAAGGAGGTCAATCGCTGTTGGTGCGCAGGGCATGCACCGTGTGGGTAGAGTTGCCATCGCGCCTGAGACTTTTCGTTGCACAACTTCTCATAATTAGGACCAATGAATGGCGTAGACAGACGACTTAGGTGGAGCAACGCTGAGTAAGAAGAGCCATTAACGCCTATACAGAAAGCTCAGTACCTCGAATTATCAAAAAGACATCGTACGCAAATAGCCAGATAAGATCCCTGTAAGATCAAAAGGCTGGGTTCGCATATTGGCGGCCTCCAAAAGTGTGCTGAGTACCCGACGAGAGCCCGTCGCGCGCAGGAAGGCAGGCCTCAATCGCGGCACACGAGTCTCACAGAGGCACTCTGCGAGTAGGAGGTGCAATGATATTCCGCTTTTCTTGACCGCTGTATCTCTACAGTACCCGCTGCGGCTCGTCGCTGACTCTGCCTTGTTGCCGCGCGGCGGGCCTCTTGTCGGGAACCCAAAAGTGTTCCAGGACGAGAAAGAAACACAACTTTTGCAGCCATTCTTCCTGTCGGTCGTTTCTCAATGGCTATATTTCTTCTGTCACTACTTCATGTTGCTTTTCTTACTATACATTTCCAGGTAAGCATGATCATCGTAAAAATTCGGACTAATGGTTAGCCACAAAATATAAAGAACGAAAATGGAAGAATAGTGGCACGCGTTCAAAACTCTGGGAGCACTGTGAGCAACTGCAGTGAAGTAAAATTCGGCTTTTGAAAATCTGCAAAAGTATTCTTACGATGTGCGTTTCGAAAAGCACTTAGCTACTACTGTACCGTACTTGAGCCCGCCCGAAGCAAAACGACGAAGGATCGGCACTATCAAGGAGGTCGCTGTGAGTGAAAGGACAGGAAAGGATCCCATGAGCGGAACAGCGACAGAAAAATGTAAGTTGCATGATGAGCTGAGGCAAAAATCCTCTGAGGAGTAGTTGGAGAAAGGCAATTAAGAAAGACAATATAAAGGAGGAATTGTTACGAACAATGTCAAACGATCGGAAGAGGTGAAGACGAACTTCAAGATTGAACAATGAGGAAGTGTTGAGATGAGGGGGAACAGATACGAAGCGATGCTCTGTTAAAACGGACCTGACCTGGGTGTGAGAGCTCTTTCAGGTTGGACCTCAAAATCAGATCAACGAGACGAAATCACTGGCTAGATGGAGTTTTGCAGGTTGTTACACAGTGTGCTAAAGAGAAAATCATGATGGTAGGTGAAAGCCAGTTCAGCTACATCATGGGAATTCTCGTAATACAGGTAACGGCTGTTGGATCTAACTTCAAAACAGATGGCTGCGTAAGCGTGTTCAACGGCGGGACGTGGCATATGGACCTTATTACTGGTCGGGATCCTTAGAGCTCCTAAACAAGTGAAGCACCAAAACCCTAGGGGCATGATGAAATCATTGGGCCAATCTTTTGGTTGGAAGCTTAGTAACAACGCTACGTTGTCTTCACTACTCTAGTTTGAGGGATTTCATTGCTGCGAACTAGTAATGGGAGCATCCAACTTGCATGAAATGCAAAGCGTTCGGCAGTTATAAGCCCCTTTTCAGAATTCACCACCTACTTACTCCCATTCAGAACCGTATTAGCAATTTGAATGCAATTTGGCCTGTACAACAACGTGTGAGGGCCAGCTGATGATAAACTCAACGTTTTGCCTTCCAAGATGTGTTTGGTAGAGATCGACCGGCCTGTGAAAGATGCATAGCCTCGCTGGCTTGAGCGAGATTCGAGTAAGGATTCATCCTCAGGCCATACGTGCGATAAGACGCGCCACCTTGCCGCCACACCAGTCACCCCGCGCAATCAATATAGAGCAGGAAAAACCCCTTTTTTCACTGGATTTTGAAGATTTCAGCAAAATAGAATAGCCATTGACTGACAGCACTTTTTGCCAGCTTTTATGAGACGCGGTACTGATCGCGGCTCAGATCCGAACGCCGACCACAATCAACAACAACAACAGAACAAGCACTGATATTGACATGAAACTACTTGAACTTGGTTTGTATGACGTTTTTGCGTGTCATGAGTGATCGTAATAAAATGCGCTCAATGGTTGAAGCCGTAATAAAATTGCGCGCTCAATGAGTTGAAGCTGCAGTAAAAGCAGACGTAAAAATCCTCTCGCACAGGATGCAGATTGTTTCATCGTTCTTGCTATGTAGTAAAATCGTAAGTTACTTACCTCTGATATTGTAACCGCAGTTATCTTCCTAGCTCACTACGGTCGACTGCTGACATGGCGTATTCCTGTAAATTCTTCACCTAGCGGCGTCGTGCACAGCTTAGCATTCGCTCGCTAATCACCCATAAAACTACAGCCCTTCAAAATAATGTATGTGTTATTGCTAACTTCAAGTGGGACGCTACTCACGTCTACTCATGATTTCTTTATGAATAGCAAAGCATTTCCCAGCAACCCCCCCCCCCGCTTACAACAAGATAGACGGTAGAAAAAGGTGGTGCTATCATTCAAACATTATGTCTAGTTATAATTACAGGGGTTATCGCAAGATACAGGGGCATCTTCTAGTAATAAGTCTGTAAAGAAGCAGGAACTTTGGGGAAAATGAAAAATGCTCACGTGCTTCAAGTTCTCTCTTCTGCTGCCTAAAGCATGGTCCCGTTCTCACCAAAAGGAGATGTTTCATTTGGTTTGTTTGAATACATTGCCCCTACAGTATTCCCGTGATATGTGCGAACCAGCGCCCACATGGAATGTAATGCATACTAGATCAACCCGCTGCAAGCGAAATAGGATGCTCTGGGCTTCCATTAGAAAAGCTCACGCGGGCGCGGCCGCGTTTGCGTGTCGATGACCGTCATTTTGATTGTCAAAAGTTGCAGGCGAGCAACAGAAGCAAAGTTCGGCGTATGGCAGCCAGTTCTTCACATTGGTGGCCGCTAGATTTATTTGCTAACTCAACTTCACTGCTGCAGCTCAAGGAAATGAACTTCAGCTTGATTAGTGCCACTATTCTTCGAAACATTTCCTACTTTCTAGTGTGAGGATTGCTCCATCGCATCAAGTTATATAATCCATTTCACTCTCCGATCGACTGATGTATTACTTAGAGGTAAAATGCAGGCAACGTATTAACGTTGTCTTTCTACGCAGTCACATATGTTGAACGACTTGTCAAGGCGGTGCTGTGATCGTCCATTATCGCTTCTGCCGCAACCGTGACAGTCACCAGCATGCGCTTGGCGGTTCCGTCGCCCGGCCAGTGATCCTTTGGGTGTCCCCCAACAGGCCCACCGCGCGGCGAAGCAAGAGACGCAGACGCGGCAAAGGGACGAGTCGCAGCGCATACTGTAGCGGTTAGGCGTCAGGTTAAAGAGAGTGTACCATACTACGTCTCATATCGCACAGCACGCGCTGCAACTCGTCTCTTTGCCGCATCTGCGTCTCTTGCTTCGCCGCGCGGTGGGCCTGTTGGGGGACACCCGGTGAGTTTTCCCCTTTCATCGGCTACACTGAGATGGAACGTCAAAGCAGAAGCGAGATGGTTCTTGCATCCCGGTGATTTTCTTTCCTTTAAAAAGTGGAACTATTTTAGACGACGGCAGACACACTACATCGCAAGACACCCCCTTAATTGGAACGGCCCATGCTCATGATTGTATTTGAAGAACTTGAAAAAGAAAATGGATTACACCGTGTGTACAACAAATAACTACTGAAAAGTAGAATTTATTGACAATTCTCTGGTAGATTTCATTTCAACAATTGCGTTATATGTCAAAACGAGGAAAAAACACAATTGCACAAACGACGAAAACTGCCCGCAGCAGTACGTTACAACGATCAAACAAACCCTCAGTTCAACGGCTCGTGTACGAGCCTTGGCGAGCAAATGTGTCCGAATCGCTTCTTTGTGAGCCTCAAACTGAGAGTTCATGGGCGGTGTTGAAAAACTGTCATAGTTCGTTCAGTGAACGAGAATTTGACATCACGACACCTTCCAGGACGATAAACGGGAACAAATACCAACTCTTAGAGCACATAACGAAGACAAACTTAAACGAAACACTGGAAATAAAATTGAATGTGCTTTGAATAAATTTCCTGTGAAAGTATAATACGGTAGCTATGTCGTCAATAATTCAATCAAAAACCAAACAAAAACAACAATCAACACAAGAAGTCTGCACAATAGGAACTGATGGATGAGCTTATAAAAAATGTATGGAGAGAAGAAATTACGATTTACAAACCCGAACTACAGAAGAGTGGGGATGGAACAAACAGAATTGTGATCTATAAAACCTGGTCACAAACAAACACAAATGGGAGGGTTTGCGGTTGGGTTAGTGGGCATGGCAGCCCATGATGGAGATGTGTCTGGCACATTTACGGCAGTGCATGTCTACGAAACGATGACGGCGCGCAATGGTGTGTCAATTTGTGGAACCCTTTGCACATAAGGGCTCAGCTATGTGGGCGTAGAAACCCAAACATACCCAAGTCCACCTTCCGAGACACTCCTTTGCACGTCGTCCGACGCTAAGCACTAACAATCGTCACTGAACTCTATTGCTCTAACTAACACAGCATAGCCCACAAGTCACTCAACGGAATCTTCGCGTATATCAATCGATGTAACTCATGGAACAATGCTTGTCTACAAAGAACAACCGCATAAACATATTTTCACCCCTGAACTCTGCTCAACGACGTCTACTTGTAGCAACTATGCTGTAATAATAAAGGCTCCCCGAAAGTTTTCCCCATGCCTGAAGGCGGAAGCTCCCACTGGGCAGCTCCTCTTTGAAAACATGCAAACATAAGGCATATGCAACATGAACAATACAAACGTTATACTGCTTGTGACAACTGCTTAAACAGGCGGCGTTTTGTCGTTGTTCTTGTCCTTGAGTAACGGCTGGCTTTCTGACAGATTCGTAGAAGATCCATGAGGAGACGGTCGAATTACCTATAAAGACTATTTCATTCTACGGCAACTTTAAAAATATCGAGCATTCACATGCTCAATCTCTATGCGCAACTGTTACAATCATGGACAACCACCTCAAATAACTTCGGGGGAGAATGACTTTTTTAGTTGTTTGATTACGTTTGAGGATGGGGGGGGGGGGGGGGAGGCAGTCCAAATTATAGACTGCTCTTCACGAGCACACCTCAACCTACGACAATGGTGTATTCATGGAACGGCTGCTGTCCATAATCGCAACGGCGCAATCCTAAGAAGTTGGGATGATGCGCCATGCGAACAATCTTGGACCAACATATCTTCAAACGACTTAAATGTTTCTCGCTTGCTGTGATGAGTCGAGGAGCTCCGCTAGAAGTCCTGCACTTTGAAAGGTGTGAGGTGATGCGTTCAACTATTTCTCAGAAATACTGCATTTTTTATGCGAACCTAATAATCCCTAGTAATTTAATACAGATCAGAGATTTAAACTCTGATCCTGGCCCTTTGTGAAAAAAAAACAAATAGCGCAGAGGTTGGGTTTTCTATGCACAACAGCATGCTTTGCAGGCGGCTGCGTAGAAGCATACAGCGCACAAAAAGTAACACTGAACGACCGTGTCCATGCAAGCGACGAGCAAGCCAGTCCACGGCTGTTCCTTATGATGCCTTTTCCACATCTTTCCATTAATTACAAATTTATCAGCCACGAGGGGTACGCCACATCTTTACCTGTATATTTGAGCATACCCAAACGTAGTGGAAGATAGAGTTCTGCCCAAAATTAAACAGATGGATCTTGGATGTGCAATTGCCCAGGCAAGAATATTTCTCAGATTCAGATCGCTCCGGCCACTCAAAAATGTCATGGAATATCTTGTAACGCGTGTCAAGCGACAAAGAATCTAACTTTCTTTTGCGTGGCGGGCTGATTGAAACGATTCGTGAAAGAAGGCATGCGGCAACCCGAGTGGCAGTCGTTAGTAACCCTGGACTCATAGGCCAAAAGGTCGTGGGTCGTCGCATAATACGGACCACGTAACTTGCCTTTCGGAAATAGGGTTTCAAAGACTATATTTGATCGTTCGACTTGTGCTCTCCTTAGAAATATCTAAGGAGAGCAAAAGTCGGACTCGCACTAAAGTCGACCTACGACCTCTTGCCTGTGAGTAATGGTCCGCTATTGATGCGCTTTCGTGCTTCATAACTTCTTTCGAAAATTGTTCCGCATATAATGAAGAAATTCTAACTCAGCGCCTCGAGATGTGTGTAGGTACAACGCTCATTTTAGTCGAAGTGACCAATTTTCCGTTCACGTTCTCAAGAAGAGTGAGGGGAGTGTAACTATCAGAAGCATATGATTTCTTGTTGAAGCTCACGCCGCGGATGCGAGACTTGAGTCCCCTGACCGGTCGCCGCGCAAGCGAAACTACCGGTACGCACGCGGCGGCTGCCGGCCGTACAAGTCGGGAAAGCGGCAACTTGACTGACTGAACCAAAATAAATGAAGAACAGACACGAAACAAAAAGTGTTGTATCGATCATTCAAGAGAGGCGGGTCCTGAACTTGGCCAATTGCCATGTTTCAAACTGTGCAAAAACGCCAGCGACGTCGCGCGCGGTGACCTAGTTTTGGCGCGGCGGTCGAGGGGGAGCTCTTGACCGTCTTCCCCATTGCCCACCGCGGGATCGCTTATTGATAAACGCGCGGAACGACTTTCTGCAACATTCACTTCCAAATGAGTGATACAACCGGTGAGTTATCAAATTGGAGATAAACTGGTTCCAGAAAGGGATCATGCTCGATTTAAGCTATGATCGTACACTTTTGCACGACCAGAAGATCCGCTATCAAGTACCCTTTATTTTTCCAAAAGGTTGAGCAAATCTGAAGATGATTCTCACCAAGAGGAACAGCCACGGCTCTTCACTTCAAATTCACCACGCAGCTATAGCAAAATGATCAGGCATAACGCTCAAGCCAAACTTCGCCCTCGTTTAACGCGACACAGCGCAAAGCGCATCGGATAGACTCGCCAGCTGCGTGCCACCGGTCCGTGTGAGCCGTGCAAAAAATTGCCGTTTTGGCGAGAACAAATTGCGAGGCAACTGGCATTAAGGAATAAGAAATTGTCTCGCAATTCACCCGCTTAGGATTGTCATGACGAGCAACAATTTTGTGCGGCGCGGCTCGTTCAAAAAACACCTTCTACTGCCAAAACCAGTCAAGGCGCAGCTTTGCCATCTGCATTGCGTCCCGCGCAGTAGTGTTGCAAATGGTTTGAGGTCAATCAAATTCAATCCAATGGTAATGGGGGAGGAGCACAAGTCGACTGCATATGGCTATCACCACCACTCAAAACAATGGTCTTCAACAACGTCATCACTTCGTATCTGCACTAACCGCGCAAACTGCTTTGTCAGCGAGTTAGTTGTTTCCCATTGACTAAACCAAGAATAAAGTCATATGAGAAATAATTTGTTTGGGGTTGTGGGTTTTTTTTTGTTTGGGTTTGTTGTTTTTTTTTTTTTTTTTTTTTTTTTTTTGTTATCAAAAAAAACGATAGGTAGCGACAAAGAAGATAGTCACAAACTCGACGATACGTTTTATACATGGATTGCATCTCATCCATCGGTCGGCTGCTATTCCAGAGGGGCATCAGTGTGCCTAAAAACGTGTCCGAATAGGAATGCAGAGTTTAGGCATGGGCAGATGGGTGAATAGAAAAACAAGTGAAGATGTTAGCAGGAGCCGGTTTCACTCCGTTTCTCGGTGGGCTTGCTCCTGCACTCTTTCCTCTTCTTGTTTTTGGAAGGCGAATTCCATAACGACAGACTGGTATCATATTCCAGCCAGATAAAATGAAGCATGAACCACCGGTGCAGAAGGGACCCACATCAGATTGGATTGTTATCGTAGCAAGCTCTACCTTCCAGAGTCTTTTCTCCCTCACAGGCGCTTGATCTATACCTGGGTCGTTACCGAAGGCCGAGCAGTCTCATTGCAGAGCGTCGGCAGTACAACGGCAACAAATCAAAAAAAAAATCGAGTTACCACGTGGGAATGTTTTTTGAGACACTTGGATGTATCTGAAACCACATTATAGTGCCGAATTCTGCGCCACAGCCTCGGGCCAGTACTAGCGAAAAAAAAGGTGTGCTTATCAAAGGCGAGTCATGCCTGATTTACAATTTGCTATGAAGCCTAGGCAAATCAAAAAAGATGAGCATTCTGGAAAGCTCGCATATTTACTCAGCAATCCCGGAGGAGCGTAACGTATTACAGGCAAACTTAGAAGACAGGCGTTGCCTAAAGGAGAGAGCGAGCATCAACCACCCCGACACGGGTGGGGGACAGAGAGGCCCGTCGCGCGGCGGGAGGGCAGAGACGCAGCCTGGTCAGCGGACGAGTTGACAGCGGGTTTTGCAGTGATTTCGAGTAAACTTGAATACAACCTACTATACTACGTCCTACATCGCACATCACGCTCTGCAATTCATCCGCTGACTAGTCACTGGCATCTCGCTGCGCGAAGGGCCTCCTGTGGTACCTCCTTATATTCGATGCAATTAATCAGTTGCGTACCGCAACTTATGTGGCTAATCTGGTTGCCCACAACTGGGTGGCATGTTAGAGCCCTGATGGGACGGTAAGGGTCTATTCCAGTTAGGGGGGATCATGATGCAGTTTCTCGGCGAAGCTAGTGTGAACTCGAACATTCCAGCTTTTCACGCATGTCAAGTGACTGCCCTCCCCCCACCCCCTAGACTGGCTACACTCCCCCTGGCTCGGAGTTACCTAGCTTTCTGGAAAAACTGCATCATGACCCCCCCCCTAACTGGAATAGACCCAGACTGCTTTTTCAAAGATGTAATAAGATATTGACTCAAAAGAGAACTCACACTGCAGTCTTCGGCATTTCCTTATCGAGGGAATTTTTCGAGTCGCGCGAACTAATGTGCTTCCACATACCGCTGCTATTGACCTGCACAAACCAAATAGAAATCACAAGAATAGAAGCAGAAAAGTCCATGTCTCACTTCTTTCGTCATATTGATCGAATGACTCGGTTCTTGAATGGCTGCCAACGGAATCTTGATCACGTTGCCACTAGCCATTGGAATATGGAGATGCGCCTCTGTCTTCACTGCATGGATAGTCGCCTGATTGTCCTCAAGCTCTATGTCAACCGGTTCTCCCTAGAAAGGCGCTATTGCTTATAGGTCTCATAGGAACTTTTGCGTAAACCAACTACACTCTGTCGTCTCTTCAGATCCTCCTTCTTTCTGAGATGGAAATCGGGCATCGGGTCATCCAAGTACTTCAAATCAGTCGTAGTGAAGAATTTCTCCATCAGCTTCCTCACAGCGACCATCACAACCAACTGAAATGCAACATTTTCGAAATTTTCAAAAAAAAGCATTACTACGCTCTTAACATGGTAGAGATAAGTAATGCCGTGTTGCCCTGGAAAGTATTCCAAGAAATTGTCAAAGCATATTTGCGCTTTTCTGAAGAGCCCTTTCTTTTCTGGAGAGACTGCTCCCAGCCAGGTAACGTGACGCGAAAACAGGGAAATACCGGCATCAAGTGGTCGGTTATGGTTTCGTTTATGTCGTCCACCACTTTCTAGAACAGGAACGGCGGTGGATCATGGCATAGGTTACAAAAGCAGACTTCAAAAAGTGCATGATAAGCCGCTGTTCAAGAAC